CAAATTCCTCCACAGAAATCCATTACATATTACTTCAATTTATACAAAGTATATTGTCTACTTTTGAGACATACTTAATAGATATGACTAAGGCAACTATATATTATGATTTCTAATAAACAGAGAGTCCAGACAGCCTCTTCCATCCTGGCAATGCATGAGAAATCTCTCAGGAAACCTGCAATCAAGTAATTAGAAGAGTAGTCCAAAAATCTAAAAAGTTCTGCTAAACTTGTTGACCATTTTCTGGCTGAAGTTAGTAAATTATTCATGATGCATGCGTGGGTGGGATTGGCAAATTAAAGGGATTATGCTGTATGTTCCCTAACTATGGAGTATGATTTTTTTACTATCCAGTACCTGTGACTCACATTTGACAAGGTGGGAGTGAGACAGCAAGAACTGTGATTTCACCTACAATCCCAGAAAGAGCAGTATGTTAAAGCATAACACACACAGGTGTTCCCTATTTTACCATAGTTTATACCTATGTGTAGCTCAGATCTTGTAAGCAGCTAGCTATAGAGGATTAATATTAGTAAATAATTTGAATTATCAGCAGTTATCACCCTAATTTGGAAGCAGCTAAAACCGAAAATCTATCCAGTCACAAAAGACAGGACAGTTTTATGGCTTTCAAAGATAGAACGCATCTCTTGGAACCAAATGTGAGGCCTTGGTTGCTATTATACTGACCAGAAAAGACAATATTTTTGTAGACTGATGCAGGTAGCAGAGGAAATCCTGCAGACATGAAATGGAGAAGTTGGAGTTCTACTGTGGATGTAGTCCCTGCTTAGAGGAAGTCTGCTACACGCATGCCTGGGCACCAGCAGGGACTCTTCCACAGAGATTTGTGTTCCCACCTCCAAACACACAGCAGGCCTTGTTTCTCTTCTCTCAAGCTGCTACTTCTTCTTCTTCTTCTGTTTCATTTTTCCATCTCAGTAATTGAAACCTCCACTCTTTTTCTTTGCCTTCTGTTTACTGCAGTGTTGAACCAGATACACCCAGTCCCTTCCTTCCTTAAAATCTATTTGTAATTCTAGTCTTGACCTGGATCTCTGCTGTGTATAAATACATTTCTCTTTCAATCTTTATTCTCACCACTGGTCAAGGCAAGCTATGTGCTGACTAAATTTTCTCTTGTACTCAAGTAACAAGCTAACCTAAAAACTAAACCTAGATTACAGGGCTGAGTTGCCTGATTTTTAAATTATTTTTTATTTATTTAACAGAAGAACATAAAGATACAAGGTTAGCACACTGAGCAGCATTAACATACAAATTTCAAGGAATGTTTCAAAGAAAAGGAGACTGAGAGGTATGAAAACATCGGTGGAGAAGTTCAGTTTCTGACCTTCAACAGTTTTGGTGCCAGCCAACAGCACTGTCCCCAGGGTGACAAGAGAATTATCTGTGCAACATCTTTGCTGGGTTTTGGCCTGACTTTACATCCAAAGAGCTCAGACTGGACTCAAGAAGGTTACAGAGTGCACCAAGCTCCTGATCTCAGAGTCTGATTCAGCTCTGTCTGGAGTGCTGGCTGTCACAAACCAGCTACTTGAGGAATGCAATTTCTTCGAGTCTCTTCTGATTTTATTACGAGGTGGTTCACGGTTTATGGATTCCTTGAAGCTCTGTGGACAAGGCAGCAGCCATTTCCCTGCTTCACCCAGAGGCTGTGGCTGTAGTTTCATGATCATTTCTACACATGGAAGCCATCAGTGTCTGACATCCAGACTGTTCACTACCTTTCTGTGCATTTCTGCAGACCCAGCTATCATTTTGCCATCCAACCACCATCACTACAGTGTCAGGCAGCAGCTTGTCATTATGTGGGATTGGGTGATGCTGGAACCACAGCTGGTGAGTACCATCACCCAGGTATTACCTCCATCAGTGCTCTAACAGAACAACCACACATTTCTTTTACTCCAAGCCCACAAGTATATGCAGCATCCAAAATGGGCATCCCTGCTCTTCTGAATCCTGGTCTGAATGAAATGGAAACTGCTCTCTCAAAGCTTTCAGGGTTTATCCTAAGATTGTCTCACAGACTGCTGTTTCCACATCCTTGCTCACCCTCACAGACCTTCCTGTTTCTCTCTCCAACTTTTTATTTTTTGAGGTTTTGTATTTATTTAGTTCTGGTAGCTCTCTTTCACATCTTGCTCTTCCTAACACTGTTCTTACTAGGATACATGCCTCTCAAAGGGATCCATCCTCTCATCCACAGCAGAAGGTGGCTGACTGATGGCAGGAGCAATGCTAGTTCAACCCTGCTGCAATATTGGTTTTATGTTATTGTTTGCTCACAAAACCTTATGTATTGCCTATCATGTTTGAGTAGGGATGATTCTAATTGAAGTCTAGAACTTTAGTTGAAAAATAAACAGGACTAATGTCACAGATATCTTTTATGAAAAATCCTTTCCTTAGGATTTTTCCTTCTGAGAAGCTGAGAGGCCTCAGGAACAAAATGTAAGCAATGATTATCTGCTGCTGTGAAATGCAACAGGTGGATCTGTGATTGGTCCATGTTGGTTGTTTCTAATTAATGGCCAGACACAGTCAGCTGGCTCAGACAGAGAGTATGAGCCACAAGCCTTTGTTATTCATTCCTTCTTATTCTATTCTTAGCTAGCCTTCTGATGAAATCCTTTCTTCTATCCTTTTAGTATATTTTTAATATAATATATATCATAAAATAATAAATCAAGCCTTCTGAAACATGGAGTCAGATCCTCGTTTCTTCCCTCATCCTAAGACCCCTGTGAACACAGCCACAGACTAACATTTTCCTGTTTAATTTTTGGCCAAGAATATGCTTTTAAATGTCTCTACAAGAGATGTGACTCAAAGTCTTCCTCTTTTTAGTGAGCTGCCATGTACTAGCGATATGTTTTGGGGTCTGCATTCATGCCTTTGGTTCAGGAATAATTTTCAAGGCCCACTGTCTTCTCTATGTCTTTTTTTTAAGAGCAGGAGCTCTTAAGTTGCTTTTCATATATGCCTACAGCTTGTTTTATGTATAATATTTAAACAGTGAAAAATCACCTCTGAATTCTTGATGGTCTAATAACATGTTAGAGTGAAATGCCCTGTTAACTCTGCTAAACACTGTTATTCTGGAACATTTAGCTTATTTATTAAACATAAAGCAAGTTCAGGGGGAAAGTGGATGTATAAGGAAAAAATCATTTCCTCAGGTGCACATTTCTTTCCTTGATCAGTGGCACTTCTCACTTTTTTAGCAGCAAAACCTGGTACCTTGTGGTAGTTGTATGGCTCAGGGAATCACTGCCTGCCTGAACTTTGAGACTAAACAAATTGTGGTTGGAGGAAGTCCTGACTTGATCTGTTCTACAAGTCGCAGCACAATGATGGTCTCTGACAGATCAGCAACTTTTCTGTGGTTCTCCCTGCACGATGAAAAGAGCATTAGACGTTGCACATATGAGATTGCTATCACAGAGTAGCAAAAGGAAGGCTTGTTCCTTCCTGTGTGTGGGCTGAGAAAACTCTCAGTCCTTCTTGGTCAAACAGGTCAAAGGCTGTCTTTTTCACTCTGCTTATGTATGCCATATGCTACAGCTTCATGAAATGACACATTTCAGGGTGGAGCCACAAAAAGAAGAGATTATAAGGTAAAATGCAAATATTTATTGCTATAAATAGCAAAAAAAAAATCATAATCTATTTCAAAGTGATATAAAGTGCTGTAATTAAACTGTAATTATGCTGTCTAGAGCAACTAAAACTTGTACACTTTCAAAGCCAATTTGAAATATTAACAATATACTTTGGAAAATGAGTTGCTTTATAAAACTCTTGGTGTAGCAAAGTTTCTGGGAAATTTCTTGTGCTTGTCTTGGGAATATTAGGTGGGAAAACAATTTTAAGCATTTAAATACATTAAGGTCATGAATTTTAAAAACAGGTGAGCAGAAAGGTTTATATTGATCTTGGCTTTCTAAAGATGTTTTGCCTGATGCTTCATAAATAAGAAGTTTCTCTGAAAATGTTTTGCAGTTGCAGTCTATCACTTTAAAGTTAACTGCAAAGAATTAAGAACTGCTGATTAAAACAAGTCTACTGATTTGAAACTTCAAAGGAATCAGACAGAGAAGACACTACTTTTTTTAAGAAATAATTTTTTAGCTCTTACTTTGTTCATTCAAAACTCTATCTAAGGTAAGGATGAATTTCATTTGCAAACTATTTATCTACCCCATGAGCTATCCCTGTATATTTGTACAGAAATCTGTATACAAGTCTGCATTCTGAGTTAAGTCTAAATAAGAACGCAGCTGTGTGTGGCTATGTTCAAAAAGTGCCTAAAGAATTACATCTTTCAGAACACCATTCCCAAATTAATTTTCACCTTTTCATCACTTTTCATAGCAGAGTATCTCAGGTAAAATTCTGTAGCAAAAAATACTTGCAGATGAAGGAAGAAATTGAATTTTCATCTGCAAAACTTTAGTTTCAATTTGCTCTATGTATCTAGAAACAAACCGTCGCTATTTATGTGTATTTTGTACCCATCCAGCAAGATGGATCAGGTGTCATCACAGATTATCCACACATGATAGGTATGACATCTTCGTATTTCAGTATTTTCCCACCTTCAATTTAAACTTTATGAGTGCAGATAAAACTTGCACAATTTACAAACAAACAGTGTCTTCATTACTACAAATGGCTGAATCTAGAGGCAAATAATTTTTTAAAAAAACCTAGAATGCAGCTTAATAAATCTCATTCATATTTATGTAAAATGCAGTTTAAATCCTGAGAGGCATGGGCTATTGCTGTCATACAAAGGTTCATAAGAGTTATAAGGCTGTAAACTATGTGGGATAACATAATTTCAGATGCAATTCAGTAGTGTCTCTTTAGGAATCTGTGATATTCCAGTTAACAATAAAGGAAATAACAAAGAAAAATGTTTTGCTCCTATTTTTCCTTTTCAGTAACCTTCAAAAGAGGAGCTTATGAGGATGCGTAACAGCTGCATAACCCAACAGAACCATTCCTCCAATGACACCATGCTGCACTCCTCAGAGCAACCCCACGCTGTTCTGATAGTGCTGTACATCATCAACCTGGCTGGCGGCACCCTCGGGGTCATCATGATGTCCCAGCAGCTGTTCCGCAGGAGATCCCAATCCGTGATGACCATCATGATCATCAGCCTGCTGGTGCTGCACAGCTTCATGCTCCTCAGCATCCCCTTCCGCCTCAGCTACTACATTCTGGGGGAGTGGAGGTTCGGGCGGTTCGCGTGCCGGCTGGCCAGTGCCATCATCTACCTGCACATGTACGCCACCTTCGCCTTGTACGCGGCCATCATCATGGCGCGCCTCCTGCGCCTGGAGCTGCGCAAGTGCTACACAGCGGCCTGGGTGGCGGCTGGCTGGCTGCTGGGAGCGCTGGTGATCACGCCCATCCTGCTCTCCTACTACGGCACCTCCACGACGCACCGGCCCCGCGAGTGCTTCCAGTTCCACAGGGAGCTGCGGGAGGCGCACATGGTGATCACCAACTACTGCCTGGTTGGGGTGCTGGTGGCAGTGTGCGCCTTACTCACCGCCATCCAGCTGACTGTCATCTACAGAGTGGCCGTGAAGTACTGGCCTGATGTCAACTCTCACGTGGAATTCAGGGCTCAGGCAAAGAGTTTCTTCTTCATCTTGGTAACTTTAGTCTGCTTTATGCCTCATCATGTATTCAGAGTGTATTACATCCAAAACTACGACCTTGATAAAGACCATAAACTGCTCCTATACAACGAGGTTTTTTTAGCTTTAACGACAATGTGCTGCCTGGATATGTTATGCTTCATAGCAGGAATAGCACACTGAACTGTGAGCTACCAGGAAGTCCAGCTGCAGTGTGTCAATATCGGCTTTTGAGAGAAGTAAAACTGTGATGGGATTTTCCTGAGCTAGGAAGACTGGTGAGTTCATGGCATGCCTCTATTAGTCTGCAGCATTGTTTGGCTTTTGCAGGCCAGTAAGACTCCACTTTCACAAGCTACTCTTTTTATCTTCTCTCTAAAAAGCAGACACACTTGAGTCTCACTCTAGTCTTGACCTAGGAGTCATGCCCTGAAGCTCCATTAAGATTTTCCTTAGCTGTCCTTCTCTAGCAATTACAGCACAAGTATCCATTCCTTTGTAATTTTTTCCTCAAAGTGTCTCAATAACCACAATCCATTGTGGCCCATAAGTACTCTTCTCTGAAGGTCTAACTTCTTCTGAAAATTGTGATACTGAAGGGAAGAGCTGGGGAAAAAAATTCTTTTACAGGATATTTGTACTAGTGGTTTTAGATCAAAGGACATAAACTTTACTCGAATGAGAAGTATTCACAGATTGGAATACTTCGGGTTGGAAGAGACCACAGTGGGTCATCTGGTGCAACCTCCCTTTGTATAATTTATACAAAGTATATATTAAATTAAATTATGTGAAAGCTAATAATTAACACAGCTTCATCTTTACTTGTGTCATTCCAAATCCACAAGGAGCTCTGAATTGTGATAATTATTTAGAGTGAATGAGAGCAGAACAGTATTCAAAACTTCTGCTTTATGTCACTCTCCCATCAGGACTGGATCTGTTATCTCTTAGGTTCATTGTAGCCAAAAAAGTTGCTGTTCTTCCATAACTGGATCTGGAATTCAGTTGAGGGGCAAGATCAGACCCTCTCCAGGACATGGAAATGCTTTATTAGCCTTCAAAAACCTTTGATGTCTGGTCACTTTCAGTTGTCTGTTGATTTTATCGAATGCCATCTTTTTTCCATTTATATACATAAAAAACAAAACCAGAGCCAACTTACTGAACTTAAAAACTTACTTTATCAGTTCTGCATATGCTTGTGTATGTGTATACAAACTTGTTCTGAAGTATATCTTTTCTCCATTAGACAGATTATATTCTGTGGGAATCACATCTGTTTTGGGAATCTCTGTTTTATCTTCATGATTTCAAAGTTCTTTTTAATGATTCATTCTTCCTGCTCTGCTCACTGCAGAAGGTCTCTAACCCCTCTGTTGAAGGCTCCACAGTCATTTGCTGCATCCCAGCAGCTTGAGGCCAGATTTCTCCCACCCCAGACTCCTAGGAGTCACACAAGGCTGCACTTCCTCCTTCACAGCCCTGTAAGTTCCTATAATTTTTAGTCTGGCAATCTTTGCTACAGAAAGGGCTATGATCCCTGGATTCAAACAGATTAAAGCTTGACTTGGGAGGATAATAAAGTACACTTACCAAGTAATGCTACTAATACCTCAGACTGATGACATTTCTTTGAATGAAAAAACTTACGCCTACTCTGTCAATCCTGAATAAACATTTTTGCCTTGAAATTTCCATAAAAAAACTTTGTTGAAAACTCCTATGGTTTCAGGTTCATTTCTGCCTCTTTTAAAAAGTGTAATGTTTCCAGGGTCCAGCAGCAAGTCCTGAAATCTGAAAATCCTGGTCTGATGGCTTCCTCTGGAGTTACCACGCCCACTCCTATTCAAAAAATAGTTTGATCAGCCCATGATTTTCAAAGGCAGCAGGTAGACCTAAAGTTTAGTATCCCAGAGATGAAGTAGAAAGGGAGAGATTTTAAAGTTGGATCTAACAAAGCCTTTAGAAAAACTGGCAAAGCTGCAGGTGGTGCAACAAGCACACTGTTTCTCCCTTACTATACTCCTGGGGCTAAATAAAAAATTTGTTCCTTGAAGAAATGTCCTGTGTCGCTGCCTTATTCTCACTGACCAATGCTCCCAAGGTGACCTGCCTGGTAAAGATCAGAGTCATCTGACCTTGCTTGTGAGTCTGTTGGCCTATCTGTGTCTATCTAATAATGGTGTCCAAGTACAGGAAAGAAAAAGGAAAATTACATACATATTCTCAGCCATTCAATAAATCATGTCTTGATGGCCTTGCCTGTGTATTGCCTGACATTTTTACCTTGCTGAAATAGCCCTGACCCACTGACTTGACTTCCTGGTGTGATGCTGAAGCTGTGTACCCATCACAGCTGTGTGGTTGCCACTGGCTGCTGGCTGGCACTGGGCCTGCTCTGCTTGCCCTGCCTGCGTGCCATGGGGCTGCATGCACCAGCACCAGCTCTGGGTGCCATGGAGTGAACTTACACAGCACCAAGGCTTTCTCTCTTTCCCACTCTGCCCCACAGTGGGCAGGGTGTGGGCAGAAAAGACAATGGGAGAGCAGATGCATAGATCTCACTATGGTCCTCTAATTCAGAGGATAATGGATTAAGCATTGATCTCAGTGTTGTTACACCAAAGACTCATATTAAAGTGATAGAGAGAAGCTCTATTCAATACCTAGTCCCTTGCTGAGATCTTTAAATGCACTTTTAAAACAGATTAAAACAAAAAATTATCACTCTTCAGATGGAAGGTCTGAGAAATAAATTCTGAAAGGACGATAATATTGAGCTCAGATTGTAGGGTGCTATTCCTTACTATGAATTCTATAATGACATACCCTGGAAAACAGTTAAAAACGTTGATTTGAATGCCATTTGCAGGACCCAAGTAATCCTGGAGATAATTATAGACATCAATAATTGCAAAGGATCATGTAAAATTGTAAGCCATTTAGTCACCCCATTCATTTTTAATGTTATTCAACAAAGACTGGGAAAATCCTCAGACATTCTGGAGCAAAGAATATCAAACTGCTGAGCGTATCTTCTGTTGTTGCTCTCTGCATGGAGTTCTGCATAAACAGAGCAGGCAAGCAGACCAAAACCAAAATCCAATTTGTATCCATGACTTCCTGAGTAAGTTGGATGGAAAGCTATAGGTGGTTCTCACCACACAAATGAGTGTGCTCACTGCTGTTACAGCTACACCGTGGCTAAGGATGGCCTGTTCCCACCTAACTCGAGCACATCTTTCTCAACAGCACAGAGGGTCATGCACAAGAGACATCTCTGGTCTGAATTCATGCCTTCCTTTTGATTCTTCTGTTCTTTGTGCCTGCTCACAGAGAAAGGTCATATTGATGGTGTAGTCAGATTGACATGCTCCTCTCTGCAAACAAGCAGAAGGAACAGATGCACTAGGAAGAAACAAAGGCACACTCCCACTCCCTTTATTTTCTTCTTCACTCAAGCAATGACACTCTGAACACTAACACATACTGTCATAACTACGTCTCTTTTTTTTTTTCTGTGTCAACCCTAAACATAAAAACACACTACAGTACTCACCTTTTATCACATACATTCGAACTTGGAGCTTTGAGTGCCACCATGAGCCACAGAGCAGCTATCTGGCATACAGAGCAGAACTACATGTGGGTTAAAATCATGAAAGAAATTGAAAATTGCTTTATCCATAAGCACATGGGCAAAAACATTGCAGAAAAGCTACAAGAGGGCAGCACTTGTTGCGATGATTGTTGCATGGAGAATTAATACCAGACAAAACTAAAGCCAGAGAAATCATGAAAAAAATAACTTTGAAAAATATCAAAGCTACAAAAGACTATTAAAAAAACCCTACAATTTCTTCATGTCTTTTTTACTACACTGTTTTCAGCTGTCAGTGAGGAGCCATATACTAAATCCATGATAAGTCAAGACCATGTGTTGTCACACAAAGTGAGTCACAGAAATTGTACAGAAACATCTTGTTCATCAGCCAATGATTTTCTGATTGGACTGACAATCAGAGAACAAGAGCCATTGCTCAGGAAGAGGATGCTGATCTTGTACTTGATGAAAGAGTTGCTTCTGACTCTCTTGGGACTGAGATGGCATCCCTGCCTGCAGAAGCTCTCCTGTTTCAAGGAGTTGTAAACAATCATTTATGGAAAACCACGTAGGAGCACCGAGGTACACATAGAAACACACCAGCAGATTTGCACACAGCAGAAGAGGGGAAATCTGGCCTCCAGAGGAAGTAATTTTCTTTCTGACAAGGAAAGATGTGACGGGGCTTCCCAGTGCCTCAATGCCAGCAAAAGAGTAGTGCTAGCAACAGCTGTCTGCTTTTATGTCCTGGCAGGCAAGGACAGAGATAATGAATGTGTCAGAGGAAGGAAGGCTGCAGGAGATAGACTGGAAGACATTGACTTGCATGATGATTCTTTAATTCATGAATTCTCACAAATATTTGGAAAGACTGTTCTGTGCTTTCTAAGGCACTGCACACTGCTGCATAGAACACCTTGTAAGTTCTAAAACTCCATGAAAATAAATTGCATCAATCTATTGAGCAACAAAAAACCAAAAACCAAAAAACAAACAAAAAACCCCAAACAAACAAACAAAATAACAACCAAAAAAACCACTATGAAAAGGTAGAATCTTTCCATGATATTAAAAAAATAGCATAAAATACATGATACCTTATTTTCATACTCTGCTTGGCAGAAGTCTCAAACCCAGGGATGTATCTTACCCACCACAACAATTTACTCAAAGATGTGATAAAAAATGCTTCAGGCATATTTTTACTAAGACCACTTCCTGCAGCAATTCTTCCTCTCTCACTTTCATATCCTCTATCTGCGGAAACCCTCTCTGAAATGTTGCAAAATGGAAACCAGCAGGAGAAAAGTCTTCCTACTGGATAAAAGCTGGAAGGGGAATTTTCACAAGCTCCACATTTTGTTTTTCCATTTGCATTATCATTCCAGCCCCTTTTCCAAAACTTAACCTGAGTGGTGACTGCTTGTGTATCCTGGACAGAGCAAATGAAGAAACAAATTTAGAAAGAGGCTTTTCCACAATGAGGAACATCAAGATGACTCAGACTCATCTCCTGCTCCTGATGTCTCTTTCACTGTCTTTTGACTGTGCTGTGAAAGCACGAAATGTCAGGGCA